GGGGCTTGGAGCCTTCAGAGTGGCAAGCTAATCCTACAGAGGAAATAAGTGCCCTCTTCCATCTTTCAGGGTGATAGGAGCCAGAATTGCAGGAGCCCTGATGAAGTCCAAGGGTAGCTGAAACATCCCTGAGCTGGTTGTTTCTGGATTTGAGGGCAAAAAGGGAGAGAGCCAAACAGATTGTACCCTACTGCCCAGTCTGATTTGGGGTAAGCACAGCTTTTAAATGGAATTTTGGCAGTATCTGGGCATCCCAAAATCTAAACCCTCCCTGGGGAGAGGAGGCTAGCTCTGTCTGGCAGTTGTCTCAATTGGAAACAAACTCTTCTACATCTTAGAAAACTCCTATTCATCCATCAAAACCCATTGAAGTTCCCTTTCCCTGGGCCTTCTCTCTCCTACACATCACAAAATGAACTCTTCCTTTTATATGCCACCATGGAAGTAAACAAACCCCTGAAATATTCAACATGAGAAGTCAGAAAGAGGGGAGCAAAACAAGCTGAGAATGGAATTTGTTATGAGTGGCAGATGTAGAACTTCAGCAAATGACAAAAGGCCAATGGGTACATGAAAAAAATTCTCAACATCACTAACCATCAGGGTGATACAGATACAGAACCCCAATGAGATATTTCCTCCCTATGGTTAAAATGTCTAATGTGAGAAAGACAAACTATAACAAGTGCTGGTGAGAATGTGGAGAAAAGGAAACCCTTGCATACTTTTGGTGGGAATGTAAATTGGTACAGCTATAATGGGAAACAGTGTGGAGGTTTCTCCATTTCTATTTTAAATACCTTAAAATAGAATTACCATAAGATCCAGCAGCCACATTGATGTGCAAGAGGTACTGGCCCAATCAACACAGGCCTCAGGGGGCTGGAGCACACTCAATAGCAGCTGGGAAGCCAGAGGCAAGCTGCCCTCTCTCTAGACCTCAATTTCCACATCTCTAAAATGGCAGTGCCCCTAATAGCACCTCACAAAAACCCCCATCCATGAAATACCAATGACTGGAGTTCATCAACTTTAAAATGTGTTCTTCAAATTAAAAGAAAAGTCACAAATTGAGAGAAAATATTTGAAAAATATATGTTTCACAAAGGACTTGTATGTCACATATATAAAGAACACTTACAACTTCATGGGGGGAAAAGAAATTTCTAATTTTTTTTTTGGTACCAGGGATCGAACTCAGGACCTTGTGCTTGCGAGGCAGGTGCAGTGCCACTGAGCTAAATCTCTGGCCCTGTAATTTTTTTAAATAGGTGAAAGAATTAAGATGTGTTATGTACATGTACCAACTCCCCACAGTGAATGTAATCATTATGTACTCCAAACACACTACTAAACATTTATTTTAAAAATAGGCAAGAAGGCTGCACATAGTGGCACACACTTTTAATCCCAGCACTCAGGAGGCTGAAGCCTGAGGGGAATAGGATAGGAGAATTTCTTCAATTGCGGCTATTTCTCAGGATTATGTATCTTCTTCATTTTTTCCTAGCAATTTTGTTGAGAAGTAGATGATAGATAGATAGATGATAGATAGATAGATAGGTAGATAGATAGATAGATATCTTATCTATTTGGAGTTTAATGAGTTAAACATTTTATGATAAATTGGTAAACATAAAAATAAAAACCAGCCAGGTGTGGTGGTGCATGCCTGTCATCCCAACATTTGGGAGGCTGAAGCAGGAGGATCACTGTGAGTTCAAAGCCAGCCTGAACTACATAGTGAGATTCTGTTTCAAGAAACCAAAAATTAAATAAATAAACCAGTTTAGAGTTTCTTTCCCATGCCCTTCGGCACTTCACAAAGTGAACTCCACCCTGCATACACTAGCATGGAAGACAGAAAACGGCCTTTGTAACTGCCTGGCCCAGGTCTGGCATGCAGCCCATGCTTGGTAACTGTGACAATGGTTATGAGTGTGTTTTAAAGGTGGGACTCGCTGGAGCTGCCCGGGGGGGCTGAGCTCTGGGAAGTCCCGGCCACAGCCACCCTAGGTCCCTGTGCTGGGCCTGGCTCAGAAGCCCTGTCTGGGAAACCACAGTCACCACATTGCTGTCCTCAGTCGAGCAGCACGGCCCCAGGATCCACAGGAAGGCGGCTGGAGACTCATCACCACCAGGCCACACTCCCAGAAGCTCCCTCCACGTGACAGCCAACATTCTCTTAATCCAACAGCCACATTCGGGGAAGGAGTAAGCAAAAAGGAAACCATTCCACAGCCACTTTCACTCAAAACATCCAATGCGTTGGCCGCATTCCATAGGCTGCAAGGGCTGCAGCAAGACTGGGTTTCCAAGGAGGCCAGTGCCGACTGGGGCAGCGAGGTCTGTGTCCACTCCACAGGCTGTTCTGGGGAACCTGGGGGTGAGCTGAGCAGGGGATGCAACTGCAGGTCCGTGGGGAAGAGGCAGCTGCTCTCAGTCCTGGACCCCAGACTGGCCTGCACCTAGGGGACAGAGGTGACAGGGAGAAGAAAGGGGGCAGAGGGAGAACGGGAGAGATCCACAGACAGACAGGTATGTGTATGGGTGGATGCACGGAGGGGTGAAAGGGAGGGTGTGTGGATGGAAGGAGGAAGGAGAAGAGGAAGGACAGATGAATGGATAGCACACACATTCACAGACATTCATTCACACATTCACAGACATTCATTCACACATTCACAGACATTCATTCACACATTCACAGACACCTAGATATGCAGAGGTGGATGGATGGATACATAGATAAATGGAACCATAGAATAGGCAGACCAACGGACAGACAGATGGACAGACGGACAGACGGACGGACGGATGGATACATACATAAATACATACATACATGAGATAAATAGAACCACAGATCAGATATATGTGTAGCTAAATAGAATCACAGATTAGACAGAATCATTAGGTACATAAATACATACATAGAATCATAGGATTGATAGTAGGTAGGTAGATAGATGATAGATGGGTAATAGATGATAGAGGGATGCCAGACAGACAGACAGACACATAGACAGACAGAAGGGAAGATGCGTAGTGGTGCAGACAGCTGAGAGAGCTGTGGTGATGGAAGCCAGCACACGGACACAGACATGGGTGCAGGATTCAGGTGCCTCCCTCCGTAGATCTCAGTAACCATCTGCATCCGCCCCGCACCCGTCAGACACAAGGGGGCGCAGGTGCGTCTGCCCGTGCAGAGCCCCACCGCCCCATCTCCCCGCAGGCCCCGCACAGCCCCAGGTCTACCCGAGCACGTGGACCCCACGTTCCCCCCTGGGCCCCTCCGCCAGCACCCATCAGCCTGGCCTTCGCGCCTCGCCTGGCTCCTGCTGTCCTCTCTTGCCAGGGGCTCCATGAGGACTGTGGCCACCCAGGCTCACGTGCCCTGCTGGGAATTCCTCATCACACCCTCCGGGCCCCGTTGCTACAAAAGGGTCCAGATTTAAACATTCCTGGGATGGGGCAGGGCGTTTTTCTTTCCACCACAGCAGAGTAATGGTGCCTGCCACAGAGGTGGAGGGTGAACATTTTAAAGTGTCGATGGTAATAACACCGATGGAGTAGGTGGCTCCCAGCAAGCCTGGGTGTGGCTCTGTCACCACCTGAGTGCATGTTTTCATCGACACATAACTTACACACAATACAACACAGAGGCACAGGGAGGCACTGCACAAGCCTGGACAGATACGTGACCAACACCTCACCAAACACAGAATAGCAACATGTTATCATTTTTACCCCAGCAGGCTCCCCTCATAACTTTTCCTAAGTGACTGGCCCACCTAACCTCTCACCAGCAACAACAAAGTTCCCATTGCTCTGTAATTCTGCCAACACTTGGAGCTGTCAGAACTGTTGGCTTCAGCCATTCTGGTGGGTGTGTGGAGGTATCACGTGATGGTTCTCCATTCCATTTTCCTGAGGATGGCTGTTGCTCAACATCTATCCATCTGTCCCTTTTTCATGAAGCATCTGTCCAGTCTTTTGCACCTGAAACTTTTGAATGCCTAAACTCAGCTATTTCTTCTGGGTTTTGTCTGATGCCCCTCTAGAAGCTGTTCTCACCCTCAGCACTCGTGTCCATTACAGAAGGACACCTCTGTCAGGCAGAGCTGATGTGACCCTTTTAGGAAATCGAGCAGCCTCCCTGGTCTCACCCTCTAGATGCCAGGGGCATCCCTGCCCCCGCAGGTGTGACAAGCAGAAAACAAAATTTCCCCACTTTGGTAAATGTCCCCTAGGAGGGAAACCATGCCCTGTTGCAAACCACTGGTTTAGAGCTACTCAGACTGGGTTCAAACCTTACCTCCCTGATTCTCCCAAACTCTGAAATGGGACCGCAGTGACACCACCCCTCTGGTGTCATGACCTGCCGGGTTGCCATCAAAGGAGACCCTGCTGTGAATGGATTGCGTCCATTTTTGCTGCAGGGTCCCCCTGATTCACAGGGGCCACATTCCAAGACACCCGGTGGATAGTACCAACCCCCATATATACCACATTTTTCCTATCACACTGTACATACATGTCTCAGTCACTTTCTCATTGCTGAGAGATACAACACCTGCCACCCACAACTTAAAGGAGGAGAGAGGATTGTTTTGGCTCATGGTTACAGTCCATGGTTGGCTGGCTCCAGGGCAGAAACAGCCTGGCAGAGAGGCATAGCAGAGGAAAGCTGCTCACATCATGGCGGCCAGGAAGTAGAGCTAGAGGCAGGAGCCCAGGAGGGAGATAAACACTTCCGGGTCACAACCCCAGGGACTGCCTGTAACCAGGCCCCACCTTCCAACAGTGCACTCAGCAATTCAGCAAAGCAGCCTCTTGATCCATTCGCCATCCAAAAACACAAGGGCCTGGGGGAACATTCTCAGCCTAAACCGTAATAATAAATACAGTGCACAAATTCTGCACATGAAGTGATTCACAGTAATAACTGACAATAGAATAGAAGAATGATAATAATATACAGGAGTAAAATTTCTAAGTGAACGTTAAAAACTTGTACGTTATTTATTTCTGGAATTACCTATCAGACATTCTCAGACCTTGGCTGACCACAGGCGACTCCAACCACAGGAAGTGAAGTGGCAGATAAGGGAGGACTGTCGTGCTATTGCTGGGCCTCTGTCTGAACCTTGCTGGTGACTTCTTGGAGCTCATTCTGGCCGGTGGAGTCTGTCGGGTTATTGTGGTCCCAGCTCCTGCACACCTGGGAGCCGGGGGCCCTCTCTAAAAAGACCATTCCTGTTCTCCAGCTCTGAATCCCTGGCTAGGGGCTGCAGGAGGGTGGGAAGGGTCAGGGAGGGACTTCTGCTCTGCAACTTGCTTCCCTGAAGGTGCATTTGGCTTGGGGTGATGAGGGAGCGGAGAGGCTCAGAGTCTAAGCCAGGAGCAGAGAGCGGGAGGCCAGGTTGGTCAAGCTGCTCTGAGGAGTGGGGGTCCAGAGAGCCCTGGTGCCCAGCTCAGCATGTGGGCGCCTCACGTTGATGCCCGCAGAATAACCCACGTGGGTACACACAGAGGGACACTGGGGACACACGTGTGTTCATATGAAACATGCACGTGAAAGACATATTAAAATACATGTTTACATGCAAGTGGGCACACATGACAGAATATACTTAGACCCACCTGAGCAAATACGCACACATACACGAACATCTGTATGAGTTAGGGTTCTCCAGAGGAACAGATTCGACAGAAAACGTGCGTGCTTAGAGACGGGATTTGTGAGGCAGGCTGTCGGGATCAAACCGGAAGAGTCCCAGCGGCCATGCGAGGAGGAGGATGCCGAAATGGTCACCCGTGTGCGCAGGATCCAGCGTCGGACGGAGCCTGAAGGTCTGGAGGATCACTGCAGAGTCACGGTGAGAGTGTGTCGGAAAGCTGAAGCATCCATGCTGGAAGCCCGAAGGAACGGGAGACCGACGTCCACAGACAGCGGTGAAGACCAGAACTGCTCCTCCTTTCCCTTTTTAGTCCATGCAGGCTACAAGCCTATTGGTTGGTGCCGCCCAGATCCTGGGTGTGTCTTCCGTCCTCATCAACCACTCACAGACACACCCAGAGCTTTGCTAATCTGCCAGGTGGTTTCTACTCACATCGAGTTCACACATCACAATTAAGGATCACCACATCCATGGCCTCAGATACAACTCCGCCTGATACACCCAGGTGAGCACACACAGGACTCGTGCACAGACACGTGTGTGCACGCATGAGCATGCGTGCTCAATCAGCCTCGGGCACACAGACAGACACACTCAGTGCGTGTGCACACCCCTGTGGCACATCGCTCACGCCTCTATCCCCAGCCCGACACACCAATGTGTATGGACCACAGGATTGGCCACTTCTCGTCACTGGGACTGAATATCCGACACCCACAACTTAAAGGAGGACAGGTTTACGTGGACTCACGATTTCTACAGGTTCCAGTCCATGATCAGTTGGCTCAAAGGCAGGAAGGGTGCGGTGGAAGGGCCTGGAGGCGGAGAGCTGCTCACAGCTTGGTGGCCAAGAAGCAGAGAGAGAAGGGAGGAGCCGGGAGGGAGGGAAACACTTCCGGGTCACGGCCCCAGTGACTGCCCCTTCTGAACAGTCCCTACCTCCTGACACTACACCGGGCTCTGACCGCATCCACTGATCGATCCACAGATGAGCACAGCGCCCCCTTCACACTCCTGAGCAGTGCCTACTCCCGAAGGCTGGTGAAGATGTCTGGAGGGCACAAGGAGATCCACGACTTAAACTGCTGCCCCGGGCACCTCCTGCCTCCTCTGTGCCCCAGCGTGGGGTCTGCAGCAGCCGACTCGGAGGCCTGCGCCGCTGGCTCCTCCTCCGCCTTCCCCAAAGTCTTCACACGCTCTCCTTCCCTGCCCCTGGAACATTTGTCCTCCACCACCAGAGGGCGCTGAGAGCACCCAAATCAGGACCCTCCCTCCTCTGACCATAGCTCTCCAGGTCTCCTGCCTCCCTTGGAGTCAAAGCCCAAGCCCCTTGCCCCATCCCTTCCCCCTCTCCTCTGCTCCCTTTCTCCCCGTCATTCCTTCTGCCCCAGCCACACAGACCTTGCTGTTCCTCTGACACACCAGCCTCCGTCCTGCCCCAGGACCTTTGCACAGACTGTGCCTTCCCTGTAATGCCTATCTCCTTGATATTCCTATCTCTCAACAGGGGCTGCCTCCTAGTTTCTTCCAACGAATGCCTATTGAGCACTTACTGTAGACACCGACAAAGAAGAGAGACAAAAATCCCCGCTCCCAGGGAACATCCATTCAAATCCAGGAGACAAAGCACGAAGTGAGAACAAAGCTGATTTGGGAGAGCGGCGAGGAAACAGACAGTAGGAAAACAAAGCGGGGTGGGGGGGATCTTGGAGCGAAGCCCCTGCGGAGGCGCCTCAGCGGGGCCTGCCCTGGGGAGGAGGAGCGCGTGCACCTCGCCTGACCCTGTGCGCGCGCCTGGCCCGTGACCCCTCCGAAGGCTGCGCCCCCCGCGCCCTCTCCCGCCGGCCCCTGGACACCCTGCCCTTCCTCCTGGGTCCCACCGCGCGAAGAGGAAGCGTCAGCCCAGGGCGTCCTCTGCCCCGCGGGCCAGCTGCCGGGGTGTGGGGCCACCTTCCCGGCCCACTCCCTTCCGGGGCGCCCAGAGGAGCGGTGAGACTTTCCAGGCCCGAAAATGGCAAGTGACGGGAAGAGCAGGCACGCTGCAGCCAGGCGCTGGCGGGACGGGCGGAGGCCGCAGGTCCAGACTGCTCGCCTGCCAGGATCCTCGCCCCCGACAGCCCGGATCTGCGCAAGGTCCCCTCATCCTGCCTCCTGAGTCCCCGCGCGGGTCACTTACCCTTTTCCCTCCTATCCCCGCCACCTGGTGTCCCCCTGATGACGGCAGTGAGACCTCTCCAGCCTCCAGGGTTCCAGCTTCTGTCCCTCCAGCACATGCGCAGCCAGAGGACCTCTCTATTACAGAGCCCCGACCTTCCCTCCCCTCGCTATAAAGCCTCCCATGGCTCCCCACTGCTCTCAGGATGAAACCTCAACTCCTTCCAAATCCACCAGGACACAGTGGCCTCTGTCTGTAGCTTGCTCCGTCACACCTGCTCCCCCTCGTGGTTTTCCTGACTAAGGACAGGTGGAATCTCCCACAGCCCTTACTTGTCATGGGGTCCCAGCTGTGTCCGGTGTGGGACACCGTCCCAGTGTCCTACAGCACAGCGAGGTGGCTGAGGTTGACAACTATCATAGATGCATTTTTTACTAGCACACGTTTGCAGTTCATACAGTTTACAATCATCTTGGGCAGTGGTTACATGTACGTATTACAGCTTGCTTTTCTTTTTTTAATTCCTTGGCTCTTCCCTTCCCCTCCTCCTCCCTCATAAAGAACTAGAAGAGGGGCCGGGGATTTAGCTCAGTAGTTTCGCCGCCTGCTGCGCAAGCGCAAGGACCCAAATTCGATCCCCGGTACCAAAAAAATAAAAAAAGAACTAGAAGAGAGGAGTTTGACAGATCCCAAAACAAAGAAATGATGGTTTGGCCATTGCACGTTGTATATCTGTATCAAACGATCACACTGTACCCCATATATATGCATGATCATTACATCCAGTCAAATTTTTCTTGACAAGCTGAGTGGTGGTGTACAAGCTCAGCACTCTGGGAGGCTGAGGCAGGAGGATCACAACTTTGGGCAATTTAGCAAGTTCTCAAGACTATGTCTCAAAATTTTTAAAAAAATTTAAAGGCCTGAGGGTATAGTTTAACATGAAGGCCCTGAGCTCCATCCCTAGTACCACTTCCCCCCCAAAAAATATTTAACAAGAAAATAAAAGCTTCTCAATGATACCCAGGATAGAACTAGAGCCTAGAAGTTGAAAAACAGACTTCGGTTGGTTGATCTTGGTGTCAGGGAGCTTACTACCTCTCCTTGCTTGATGAACCTGATTTTTTGGTCTGTTTGTTGCTGTTAATTTTTGTTTTGTTTTGTTTTTGCAGTGCTAGGGAGTGAACCAGAGTCTTGTACAGTGCAGTAGCTCTCACCCACAACCCCAGCCTTGGACCTGACTTTTAAAAAGGGAAATTTGGTCCATCCTTCCCCAGCCTCTTGGTTCCTCCAGTTTAGCAGCCAAGAATGGCCCAGCCCCATCCCAGACCAACTTGGGCAGAGTCTTGCTGGAAAAACCTTCTGGGCCAAGGGCTGAGAGTGGTAAATACAGCTCAAGACACCCCCAGCATGGCACAACCTGTGGCTGGAGACCCTGGATGAAGGAGACTCTGGATGAGGTGACAGGAACCAGGCATAGAGGCACATACCTGTAGTCAGGAGGCTGGGGCAGGAGGTTTGCTTTAGTCCAGAAGTTTGAGACCAGCCTGGGCAACATAATGAGACACCCCATAACCATCTTACCAAAAAATATAACATGCTGAGCATGATGGTGCACACCTGTAACCTCAGCACTCGGGAGGCTGAGGCAGGAGGATCACCACAAGTTTCAGACCAGCCTGGGCTACATAGCAAGGAAAAAAAGAATCCACTGATGATGTGTCCCCTACTGTGTCTTCTGTCCATGCAGAAGGGGGTCCATTTTCCCAGTCCCCCAGGTCCCAGGCAAGAGCAGAGACAGGCAGGGTTAGCAATATGGGAGTACGGCTCTCACTCGCCACAGCTAACACAGCTGCCCACAGGCCTCACAGGGAAGAGTCTCAGGGGGTCACGCTCTGCAGTCTAGGGGGACCGCATGCCACAGTGTGTCACTGTGGTGCCACCCAGGAATGGGCACCCACGAGGCCGCCTGCCCACGGGAGAGGGTTAGTGCCCATGCAGACAGTGCTCCAAGGATGGTGCAGCCTTGGGCGACTCACAGCCAGCCCTGGCTGCTGCCATGGGTCACCCCTTGCGCTGGAAGTCCCTGCCCAGAGCTCCCAAGGCCATCGAGTCCTGAGGACACTAAGTTCTTGGTTCTACAAAGATGTGGTTTTCCTTCGGAGGTGCTGAAGTCCCTTGCGGTTTCTCCAGGGGTCCAGGAGCAAGGAAGGGGGTGAGTCTGCGGCCAGGAGTGGGCAGGAGGAGGCTCCGCACCCAACACCATGCTGCCCCCTGAGGTGGAAATGCAGCCACTGAAGGTTCTGCTTTCATCGTGACAGCTGCCTGGCTCAATCCCACATTTGGACAGTAAGACATATGCTCGGTTTCCTACATTTTGTGAGGCAGCCTTATTCCTGAGTCACAGGTATGCAAGGGACCCTCCCTTGCTTAAAAAAGTGATGGCCCTAGGGCCAGGGATTTAGCTCAGTGGTGCTGCCACCTGCCTCACAAGTGCAAGGTCCCAAGTTTGATCCCCGGTAAAAAAGAAAAAAAAAGAAAATGGTCCTGAATATATAGATCTGTTTACTAATGTGGGAAGATGATGTCTTGTTCGTTTGTTTGTTTTTGAGACAAGTTCTCACTATATGGTCCAGGCTGGCCTTGAACTCACAGCGATCCTCCTGCCTCCTCCTCTGGAGTGCTGGGATGACAGGCGTTCACCACTGTGCCCAGCTTATTTTTAGAATATATAAAGAACTCAAAAAACTAGACCTCTCCCCCCAAAAAAGACCCAATCCAAAAATGGGCAAGTGAAATGAACAGACACTTCACAGAAGTATAAATGGGCAATAAATACAGTGGACCCTTGACTTATGAATTCAACCAGTTTCCGAGGGCTGGTTATAACTCAAGTTGGTTGTAAGTCAATACAGCTGAGATCTGAATGTTTACCTGGGTACACACTGTAGACAACAAGAGGCAGGTAAATCTTCCATTAACCTGATTAACCCAAGTTGTTCGTATGTCAGGCCGGTTGTAACTTGAGGATCCACTGGATACGAAAAAATGCTCAACAACACTGACCATTTGAGAAATGCAAATTAAAACAACACTGAGATTCTTTCTCCTGCTCGGGTCTTACAAGGGATAAGATAAGACCTTACACTCAAGGACCGGGGATTTAGCTCAGTGGTGCTGCCACCTGCCCTGCAAGCACAAGGTCTTGAGTTTGATCCCCGGTACAAAAAAAAAAATTACACTCAAGTCCTAAAGAATAAATTTTCCTCATACAACAAAGCAGAAGTTGCTAAAGGAGCCGTCAGACAGGAACATTTTACAGCCTGTACATGTTAAAGCCGTACAGTAATTCCTATCACAAGAAATTTGTACCAGAACCCTTTTACCGACATCTCAAACAGCAGCAGGTGTTATCAGTTTTTAAATTTTTAATCCCTTTCTTGTTATATATTTTACATCTGGCAATGGTTCAGAAAGTTTTTCTCAACTCTGGAAAACATTGGAAAATATGGATGAATTAAACTGGTAGCATTTCAAATAAATTTTCTAATTGCTGATATAATTTCAACTACAATAAGATGATAGTCAAATAAATGTTGTTCCCTCTGGTTATTTTTCTTCTGTGTGTGTGTGTGTGTGTGTGTGTGTGTGTGTGTGTGTGGTTGTTTTTCTCTCTCTCTCTCGGACGTACCATGAACAGATCATTGCTACTAAAACTTTCATTCTGTGGGCTCCTAGGAATATATTTTCATACATTAATTGACTCTTAGCAGTACTGTTTTTTGGATATGCTTGTTCATACCCTTTCTCAATTTTCTGTTTATATTGTTTGTCTTTTTCTTATCAATGTGTGGCAACTCCACATAGGAAAGTAATAACCCTTCTCAAACAACCAATTGTCCTTATAGGTTTTGTTTATACAAAACCTAAGAAATTATAAAATTATTTCCTGGGCCGGGGATTTAGCTCAGTGGTTCTGCCACCTGCCTCGAAAGCTCAAGGTCTCAAGTTCGATCCCCAGTACCAAAAAAAAAAAATTATTTCCCAAGTTAATCTATATATACAGTTTTGTTATCAGATTTGTATTGCAAGAGCACATAGATTTTCATATATACATAATCACACGTGATGTGATCATGCATGAATGTAATCGCACATTCATGAAATGTGACCGGAAATTGCAGTGAGTGTTCAAATTGCTAAAAAAAACTATTACACTGAAAGACATGTCGCCATGAATCCCCCTCAAAATCCTCCTCTTCATTTCAAACACACTTGCTCCATGGTTCTTGCCACTTTCTGAAGCAGTTCTATACGTCCTCTTTCCCCAGGGTCTTCAGCTTCCCTGTCCTGGCTGCCTGATGTCCTGAATCAATTCAACACCTTTCACTTTCATGGTCATTGTGACTTTGGGGAAGAGCCGGAAGTCACACAGTGCCAGATCCAGTGAATAAAGTGGGTGAGGACCCAGCGTCATGTTCGTACGAGGCTGCCTTTGTATTGGATGGCACTTGGGAGACACATCCACCATATTTTTTATCTCGTCTCATATAGACACTCCGAAAAGAGGACTCCAGAACCGTTTCAGAAAGTGCCAACCGTGGGACAAGTGGGTTTGAAGTGAAGAGGAGGATTTTGAGGGGGAGTTGTAACAATGTATCTTTGTAATGAATTTTTTTAATTTAAACATTCGCTATATATGTTGATCACATCTCGTATATATTTGTCTTTTTTTCTTGGTTTCTGGATTTTCCATCTTAATTGTTTTCAAACATATTTTCAACTCTAAGTTGTGAAAGCAACCTTGTAAATTCTGAGATCTATACCGGTTTATTTTTCATATTTCATGTTTAGCCCATCTGGCGATTCTTGGATTTTTCCCTCAGCACAAAATATTTCACTCCACCACGCCTCTGTCAAAAGAGGGAGAAGAAAGGGTGGGTCTCGAACCCCAAGTTTCTCCCTAACTCAGGCCACCCCCTGCTGCCTGTAAAGCCCCCTGCTTCCCCCTCCCAACTGGTATTTCCAGTTTTCTCTGAGGGTTTAGCCCGTTTAGGGGAGAAGCCACGGGAAAGTGCTATCACCTAGCGGCTACAACCAGAAGAAAAAAATAACTTGAAATCTTTTGGAAGCAGAAAGGGTTCACTGGCATTGGCTTGAAACTCTCCAAAAGTTGAAAGCAAGGACGCAGACCCTTGTACACCATGTTCTTAGCAGCATTCTTCACAACAGGCAAAAAGTAGAAACGACCCCCACTGTCCATCAACAGATGCATCAATAAAACATGGTCTACCCATAATGTGGACTATTATTCAGCAGTGAAAAAGAAGGGAATCCTGATACATGCTGCAGTGCAGATCCACCTTGTAGACGCAATGTTCGGTGAAAGTGGCCAAGCACTGAAGGACACACACTGCAGGATTCCACTCCCAGCGGGGGCCAGGAGCCCTCAGAGCCAACGATAGGAAGCAGTGCAGTTGTCAGGGGCTGGGGAGTTGCTGTTTCATGGGGACAGAGGTCCAGAAGATGAGAAAGTTCTGCAGATGCGTGGTGGGGATGGCTGCCCGGCCATGTGAATGAGGGTAACGCCCCTGCACTGTGCACTTAGGTGTGGCTAAAATGATAAAAAATTTTCCATGTATTGGGGATTGAACCCAGGGCCTTCTCATTGATCCCCTTTTAATTTTTTTTTAATTTTTGAGATGGGGTCTGGCTAAGTTGCTAAGCTGCCCAGAAAGCAGGACTTGAACTCATAATCCTCCTGCCTCAGCCTCCCAGAGGCTGTAATGACGGGTCTGCATCCAGTTTAAAATGGTGGGTTGTATGTTATATCCATTTTATCTAACAAGGAGGTGGTGGGGCAGGCAGAGGGACCCTCCCTGGAGTGGGCTGGGGTACGGAGGGGCCCCAGAAGTGAACACAGGCAAGGGGCTGGTGTCTGGATTCGGCCTCAGGAGGCAGCAGGGACATCGGCAGTGGCCAGTGGGGGGTGGGGGTGGAAACCAGGGCACAGAGGGCAGGGAGCCAGGCCAGGAAGTGTGCACGGCACCCTCGGCCAGGCCTGGCTACAGACGCCCCAGCCCAGCCCTGGCACCGCCCGCCACCCTGTGCCTTCCCAGGGCCTGGTGAACTTTGAGCCTCTGAGCACCCCAACGTCCACCCGGCGACCCTCCCTGACCTTCCCGCCTGCAGCAGCTACCTCCCCCACCCAGCCTGCGACAATTTGTGCCACCTACTTCCTGTCACGGTGATTTCACACCATCCGAAGTCACCCAGGGCTGCTTCCTGCCCCCCCGCTGGGCTATGAGCCGCAGATGGCAACTGCCTTGATCACCAGACCGTGCCGGGCACACAGTGGGCCCTCAGCAAATGTGCATTGCATGAAAGAACCAATCGATTGGTTACCAGAGGTGTGTGCAAATCTGAGTGCTTCCGTGTCTGCCGGTGGCCCTCGCATGCGGGCTCTGTGGATCCCCCCCACCCCGTGCATCCCTGGGGATGAGTTTGAGTCCTGGGTCGGTGAGGGGCGGGTTTCCAGGACCGAGGGTTTGTGATCTGAGGGGTCACATGGCCATGAGTGTGTGAGGCCGTGTCTCCGAGGTGCCCGGACTCTGAGTGTGAATTTGAGTATTTGAATCTCTGTGTGGCTGTTATCGTGAAGCCGTGTGTGTCTGCAGCATGCAAGGTGTGTGTGTGTGCACGCGCGCGTGTCCATCCTGTCACCCATGTGCTGTTTGCTCTTGGTGTGACCCTGCTCCCGTCCACACACACGCCTGTTTGAGTCTCCCAGAGTGACCCTCTCGGTGTTCCCCGCACCATCCCATTTCTAGAGACCGGCACACTCGGGAGCCTGCGCAGGGCTCTGGCACCAAGTATACAGCTGCGAGTCCTCCGCATGTGCCTGTGCACGCGTGTGCAGCTGTGCGCCTTGTGCCTGTGTGTGACCGTGTGCGTCCCCGAGCGTGGCGGGTGGGTGTGCTCAGCTACGGCCCTCCAGCCAGGCGGAAGGTGAGGGCTTGTAAGAGTGCTCCCACCGTGGCCTGTCAGGCTCCCAGGGTGATGCCCCGAAGGTGGCACAGGACAGCGGGAGTACACGGTGACACTGTTTCTACCCCTGGAGTCAGCAAACATCTGCCCCCTCAGAAGCATGGATAACGGAAAGGTGCTGGCAAATTATTAGGAAGTGGTGAATGTTGTCGTGGTCAAATACCTACAACATAAAAATTATCATTTTCACTTTGTGCGTGTGGTGCTGGGGATGGAACCCAGGGCCTTTGCACTGAGCCACATCCGCAGCCCTCTTCATTTTTTTATTTTGAGACAGAGCCTAAGTCACTAAGTTGCCCAGGCTGTGCTCGAACTTTCAATCTTCCTGCCTCAGCCTCCTCAGTGCCTGGGATCACAGGTGTGTGCCACCTGGCTGAGTTAGACTTTTTAGATTCCATACGAAAGTAATTGCAGATGCAGTCTTTGTAATGTGATTTATTTAATTGTAAAGTTAGATCATTGAAAACTTCACAGCGGCTGCATTTCACAATCACCTTGCAAAATTCCCTCGAGTCGAGACAATCCAGCCCCAGGTGTCTGGCCTGGGTGTGCTTGAGCGTGTATTTGCACTCCCAGATCTCTGGATGTGTGGCCAGCTGTGCTGCCCTGTGTCCACGTGCAAGCAAACAGGTGCTCCGGCACCTCCAAGGCTGGGTCTGGGTGGCAGGTCCCACGCCCCTCTTTGTGTCTCCTTGTCCCGTCCTCCTGGTACAGATGTGTGGCCCTGTGCATGCGTGTGGCTCTGCAGGGCCCCATGCGCAATGCTGTGAGCACATCCCTGTGTAACACGCGTGCGCCCTGTGCCCTCTGGCATGTGCACACCAGTGGAGGCGGTGCTACCACCTCCCGGCACGCAGTGTGGACAAGCGCCTGTGTCCCACGTGACTCGTGTGTCCCTGCATGTCTCCGTCTTTGCACCCCTGCACCCATCCCTCTTGGGCGGTTGGTTCCGCAGGAAGCTGTTGGGGTGTGGTTGGAGGTGCTGTGCCTCCCGCCAGCACCCCACTCCTCCTCCTGGGGACACGGGCACACATGGGGGTGAGGGGTGGACAGGGATGCCCTGTTCTCGGACCCCGTCTTCTATGCTCTCCTCAGACCCCTGCTTGTGCACAGCTGGCCCGGAGAGGCGGTTGAGGAAGAGGAAGTAGGGGCAGAGCTGGGTCACGCTGTGGTCACACCACGCTGTGGCAGCCGGTGCTGCCTTGGGCTGCCCAGGAACCCTGGCCAAGGGTCATGGGGGCCACAGGAGCTGGCGGCCAGGCTGGGCACCCAGGCCACCGCGGGCCTGGCGCCATGTGGTGAGTATCCAGCCTGGGACGGCGGTTGGGGCACCCGCGGGGAGAGGCAGCCATGAGGACAGCGATGGAGGGAGTGCGGGGCAGGCGGCCTGCTGCCCAGGGGGACGGGGGGGCTGTCTGCTCCACCAGGGGGGACCTGGGATGCTAAGGTCCCTGAGGACCCTAGGATGGAGCCCTTTGCAGCCAGGGGACAGGGGCAGGGTGTGAGCTGCACCCCCCGCCCCCCGGCAGCCTCCGGATGGGCTTTGCTTTGGAAACTGCAGGTTCCAGGACCTCCTCCCCCACGGGTCTCCCCAGGACAGGCCCGAAGGGTGGAGCTGGGGGCCGTCCGGCTGGGGCCCGCTCTGCACTGGGCCACCTCGGGGAGCCCCCAGCCACTGGATGGGGTGAGGACAGGAGGGAGGCTGCTGCGGTTTGTGCAGGGCACACCCAGGCCTCAGTTCCTCCCTGCCCCCAACGCGGGGCCACTGCCCTGAAGGGACGCGCTTCGGGGACTCTGGGGTCCCAGGAGGCGTTGACCAGGGACCAGGAAGCATGGAGGGGGTGAGGCAGCCTGGGAATAGGCTTCGAATGTCACTCCCGGGGCACTTAGGGTCCAAGCCAGGGCTTGGCATCTGGGGAGGGTCAAGGGGGGGCTGTCCCAGCTGTCTGCCTCCCGCAGGCTCCTTCACCGGGTCTGGGCCTTCTGGACCGGCTTCCCAGAGGACGTAACGTTTCCACAGCCCCAAAGGGCCGATGGACGGTGGGTACCCCATGGTGCCTGGTCGGGGCCCCTTCACATCCCCTCCCCCACTGCCATCACTGCAGGGGGACCCAGGAGGTCCCTTCAAGAGGAGGCGGGACCCCAGCTCACCCCCTACACAGGAGAGCCCGGAGGTTCCATGACGTAGGTCACAGAAAAGACTTGCAGGCTCTGCTAGGCAGAACTCGGCATGCCCACACTTGGAGGGAAGTGAGAGTGGGCCCTCGGCAGAGGCCCTAGGACCTGGGGTTGGGGTTCTTTTGCTTTGTTGGCTCGGTTTGTTTTGTTTTGTTTTTTCCCCATTAACTTTATTGGTACATTTTAGGTATACAATACAGTTACATTCATCATTGGGATCTTGTACCTTTACATGAGTCTCTTGGTTCTTATTTTTTTTCCCTTCC